TCGCACTACTATTTACTCAAAGGATATAAAAATATGAATTCAAAGGAATACATACACCTCAATGTTTATAGCAGCATTACCAACAATAGCCTAACTATGGAAGCAGCCCATGTGTCTATCGACTGATGAATGGATAAAGAAGATGTGGTATATATATCTATAATGGAATTTCTCAGCTATCAAAAAGAATGAAATCTTTCCATTTGCAATGATGTGGATAAAGCCAGAGAGTACTTTGCTCAACAAAAATAGTTACTCAGAGAAAGACAAATACCATATGATTTCACTCATATGTGGAATTTAAGAAACAAAACAGATGAACATAGGGGGGAAAAACTAAAAAGAGAGGCAAACGATAAAGTGGACTCCTAACACTAGAGAATAAACTGAGGGTTGCTGGAGGGAGTTGGGCCGGGGCTTGGGTTAAATGGGTGAAGGCTATTAATAGCCAGTTAGAGGCCTTCACCACTTTAGTTGCCTGCAACCAATGAGAATCTGCCACCACATCAAACTCCCCTTTTCCTCCAAAATCCTTTTGTTCAAAACAACCTCTTGCAGCTTCCTCCTTTCCTTTCTGTAATAGGATACTCTTTTCCTTCTTCCTCTGGACTTGGCTATGGTTCACCATGGTTTGCTTGTCCCAAATTGCAATTCCTCTGATATTCCTGAATAAATTCTATTTTGCTGGCTGTATCTCTTACCTTGTCTTTTTTTTTTTTTTTTTGGTTGCTTTTATTTTTTATTTTTTTAATAATTTTTTTATTGTTATGTTAACTACCATACATTACATCATTAGTTTTTGATGCAGTGTTCCATGATTCATTGTTTGTGCATAACACCCAGTGCTCCACGCAGAACGTGCCCTCTTTAATACCCATCACCAGGCTAACCCATCCCCCCACCCCCTCCCCTCTAGAACCCTCAGTTTGTTTCTCAGAGTCCATTGTCTCTAATGGTTCGTCTCCCCCTCCAACTTATCTCTTACCTTGTCTTTAAACTTTGTTCTTGTGAAAGGTTGACAATATCCACAAGAAAAACACTATTAGAATAACTGAAGTTAGCAAGGTTGCATGGCACAAGATCAATAGAGAAAAACCAATTATATTTCTATGCACTAGCAATAAACAATCAAAAAATGAAATGTTTTAAATTCCACTAACAATAACATATAAAATAAAATGATGTGGAACAAATTAATAAAAGAAGTATAAAATGTGTACATGTAAAATTACAAAACTTTTTAAAAACTTTTATTTATTTATTTGACAGAGAGAGAGCAAGAGAGGGAACCATGACCTGAGCCGAATGCAGATGCTTAGCGACTGAGCCACTCAAGTGCCCCTAAAATTACAAAACTTTGTTGAAAGAAACCAAAGAAGGCCTAAGTAAATGAGAAAATATCCTTTGCTCATGAATTAGAAAATTATAATATTGTTAACATGGCAATATGCCCCAAACTTATCTACAGATTCAACACATTTCCCTTTCTAAACCCTGCAGAAATATACATGCTGATACAAAATTTCATATGGAAATGCAATACACATACAATAGCCAAACCAATAGTGAAAAACTCACTTTTCCCAATTAAAAACATACAACAAAGCTACAGTTATCAAACAATGTGGTATTGCATTAGGATATACATATAAATTAATGGAATAGAATTAGGAATCTGGGGAAGAAAAAAATTATGGAAGGCAAATTGATTCTCACCAAAGGTGCCAAGATCCATCAAAGAAGACATAATCATGTCTTCACGAAATTGTGTTGGCACAAATGGATACCTACACACAAAGGTATACAGTTGGACCACTAATTTACAGTACACATAAAGGTGACTCCATGTAAAAACTGAAACTATAAAACTCTTAGAAGATAGTATAAAGGAATAAATATTTGTGACTCTGGGTTAGTAAAGCTTTCCCTTTTAAAGCATTCAAAGTCCAAGTGACAAAAGCAAAATATACAGATAGTCATCACATTAAAAACTTATATTTCAAAAGACATGATTAGAAAAGTAAAAAGACAATCTACAGAATTGGAAAAAGTTTTTTGTTTGTTTTAGATCTCACACACTCTTACAACAGAAAATGTTTAGATTATTTTAAAAAACACAACTAAACAACAAAAAGGCAAACAATCCAATTTTAAAATGAGCAAAGAACTTGAATAAACATTTCTCCAAAGAAGACTTACAAATGGTCAACGAGCACATGAAATGATGATCATAACTTTTAGTAATTCAGAACATGCAAATCAAAAGAACAATGAGATACAACATTCACAGTCAGATGACTATATCAATAAGACAACAATAGTGTTGTGAAGAAATGAAAATCAGAATGTCTTACACACTTGGTGGGAACTAAGGTCATAGAGATAATTTGGAGAATAGTCTGGCAGTTCATGAGAAGTTTAAACATAGAATTACCAAATAACCCAGCAATCATATTTGCCTGTGTATATTTAAAAGAAAAACATACACATGCAAAAAACCTGTACACAAATGTTGACAGTAACATTACTCATAATAGTTAAAAGTAGAAACAACTCAAATGTTCACCAACTGAAGAATAAACAAAATGTGGTATCTTTATACAATGGGATATTTTTCTGCTGTTAAATATAAAATTCTGATTTGCACACCTAAAATGAAATGTACACTTACAAATGCTTAAAATAGCCTATCTTGTGGAATTTTGAAAAATGTTACAACATGGGTGAATCTTGAAGCATTATGCGAAAGTAAGGAAGCCAGACACGAAGGAAGAAGCCAGGCACATACTTCATGACTCCATTTTTAGGAAATATTCAATATTCAAATCTATAACAACAGAAAATTGATTAGTGCCTGTGAGGGGGTGGAATATGACTGTTAATGTGTATGGGGCTTCTCCCTGAGGTAATGAAATGTTCTGGAATTTGACAGTGGTCAGAGTCGCATAACTCTGTAAATAAACTAAAAACCACTGAATTGTATACTTTAAAATAGAAAATATTGTGCTCTGTGAATTCTATCTCAATAAACCTATTTAATAAAAAGTGATTCTAGGATTATGGGGGGAAAGTACATTTAAGCATATGAAAGATTAACAGTATAGGGTAATCTATGGCAAATCTGATTTTATGAAATATAAGAGAAAAATGTAAATGAAAATGCTAGAAGCTGAAAACAAAATAAAAAAGATAAAATAAACATTTAAACATAATATATTTAATGTAATAAATTAATAATGCTGATAACCTAGGTCAACTGGATAAACTTTTGAAAAAGGAAATATCAAGAGTAGTGTTAAATGAAACAGTACTCCAATCACATCAAGAAACCTAAAAGCAAAGATTTCTCCTCCACTGTCAAAATGGGGCATAACAGTTAATTTTTTAGAGTATTGATTCATTCATTCATTCATTCATTCATTCATTCATTCATTCATTCATTCATTCATTATTTATAGATTTTACCTATTTATTTGAGAGAGAGAGGGAGAACAGAGGCAGAGGGAGAGGGAGAAGCAGACTCCTGTCTGAGCATAGAGCTGGATGCAGGTCTCCATCCCAGGACCGTGGGATCATGACCTGAGCTGAAGCAGACGCTCAACCGGTTGAGAAACCCAGGCACCCAAGAGTAACTTTTAAAGGAATAAATGGGCACTTCCTTATTTTGCAATCCTTCAAACACATAGTATAAGATATGCAAAATGAATTTCACAGCGTAAAACTGATTCTAAGCTAATTGGAGGACAACAAATTATAGCAAATTTCTCTTATTAACATAAAAGTAAAAACATTGGCAAAAAAAATTTGTAGACAGCTAACTGTAACAGCTTGTTTTGAAATAACACCTCATAACTCATTGTAATTTGAGAAATAGCAAGGACAGTGATTCCATCCCTTGAGAGACCAGCGTAGAAATTAACAAGGGACAAGCTATAGTTTGCATAGTCCTTCCAAATTAGACTTTCCTGGGGGTTGTGATCAGAACAGTTTACTCTTTCTTAGGTATATGGTATTCCTTTGAGATATAGGAGTGGGTATTTTATTTTTATTTGATACTTTAGTATTTTACATTTTGTTTACTAACTGCGTAATGTCCATGTTTGTTCAAGAAGTTCACTTCTTCCAGAAGGCAAATAGGTTTTTTATTTCTTATATTGAAATTAGAGTGCGCATTTTCCCAGTCTGGTTGTTTTATTTGATTGTATGGATACTTAGGAATTTCAGTGAGGGGCCTATGTCATTATTTGACTAGGTCTTTGTAATAATGCACTCAGTTTTTATTTAATTGTTTCTAATTTTTAGGGGATGCATCTATTTGGCAATCATTTTTATAAAAGCATTTAGTGCCCCTCCCCCTTTGTTTAGGTGTAAAGAAATGCAATATTGAGTTTGTTCAAAGGCAATAAGAAAATGTATGCATGCCAGCTGCGTTATAAGTGAAATAGCGTACAGGAATAGAAACAATTTGTATTCTACAGATACTTGTAGGATTGCAAAAGTTTTGTAACTGGTACCGCCTTATCATAAAGGCAGGTGGGTAACTGAAAAGCCAGTAAGTTTCAAGTGTGTCAAGGACTTTGGAATGGGTGTTCATGTCGTCGTGGATTTAAGGGTAAAGGAACGGGGGCAACTGGGCTTCCAGTCCCCGCAAATGGGGAATTTTCTGCGTGAAAAAAAGAAAACGACCACTCAGTCACACTGCTGGAGTCTGCTTCTCCCTCTGACCCTCCCCCTTCTCATGTGCTCTCTCTCTCTCATTCTCTCTCAAATAAATGAATAAAATCTTAAAAAAAAAAAAAAACCTTCCGTCTACTGCGCACGCGTAACATGCGCCGTTGTCCCTTAAAAAAAGATCCGGCGGTTTTATTTGTAATTGTGCTTTTCTGTTCCGTGGAAGAACTATTTAAGGTTACTCGAATGCTTGGTTTGTGGCGCTTGTTTTCTTTTAGTGGACTCCCTTCTGTGTGTTTAGCTTTTACTAGCCCACATAGAACATCTCCGTTTTGAAGATGCTTTAGCGCCTGAAGAATCAATCCGCGGAGCGACACGAAGTGTAAAGCAGCCGGAAAAGCTGGATGGTCAAGATGGTGGTTATAGAACTGGGAGCCCTGAGCAATTGCATGAATTAAAATAATAGGAGTTAAAAGAAAATATAGGGCCTCTGGGGCCCACATTTTGGCGACAAAGGATTGATATGCCACTGAAGAAAGAGGAAATCATTTTACAAATTAGCATCTGAGCACGACATGGAGCCGGGGTCCGATGACTTCCTACCGCCGCCGGAGTGCCCAGTGTTCGAACCTACGTGGGCCGAATTTCGAGACCCGCTTGGCTACATCGCGAAAATCAGGCCCATTGCAGAGAAGTCGGGTATTTGCAAGATCCGCCCACCCGTGGTAAGGTTCACAAGCAAAATTTGGAAACGGGGTTGCGTTATCTCCGAGCGTTTGGGCACTGTTAGTAGTAAACAAGGCCTAAACTCGGTAGTTCTTGCTCTTAGTTAAATGCTGTATGTAGGTATAATTTCTCCTTTTGTAAATAACCATAATGCACTGGCATCAGAGAGCTAGTTTCCAGTCGTCGGACCTCGTGTAGTTGTAAAATGTATTTTAGAAATGAAAAGATCGAATTTGAAATTGGTTGTATGCTGTGCCACAATACACGCGTCCCTAATATACTAATGTCTTTTATATTTACATTCAAAAAAGTTTTATTAATGTACCCAAGGCCTTGATATGTAACTGCAGCATATATATATATATATAGTTTTATTGACCACTGGGCCTGATCTAATGCTGTAAAAAACTCAGGTAAAGATGGGAACGGATGTGGGAATCTTCCTACCATTTAATTTCATGTTTCACAGACAAGCCTCTCCTCTGGATTAGGTTTACTCAGAACTGCTAATTGAAACTGTTAGGTTTCTCTAGATTAATACAGACTTAAAAGTGTCTACGCTATCACTTTAAACAACTAAAGTGAAAATTCAGCGTATGTCCTCTTACTGCACACTATTTTGCTCAGTTGTCAGATGCTTAACAGGATTACATTTCCTTCTGTTTGAATGTACATACTTGTCTCACTACTACTAATTATACTTCTATTCTTAACACACTGTTATGAGCGGGAATAAATAATGGTCCAACTTTCAGAATCACTTCTCCTCCATATTACAAATTTTCTTCGCATTAATAACCCAAATGAGTGAGTCTGCATTGGGGTGTGCTTCATACTTTCAGATTGATCTTTTAGGCCCTTTCTGAGGATTTGGAATTTTGTTTTTTATGGGATTTTTTGGGAGGATACATACCAAGGAGTTTCAAAGGGGTTTTTTTTTTTTGTGGGGTTTTTTTGGATTTTTTGTTGTTCTTTTTCACTTACGTGATATTAAAGAGGCAACCATATGAACCTTTAGGAGCAAAAAATAGCAACCAGAAGTCTCAAGAGGGAGGAATATTAAATTGGAGACAAATGGTTCTAGTTCTCACCATCTACATCTTTTGCTGTGCCATAATAAGTTCTTTTATTTTCTTTTAGGACTGGCAACCTCCCTTTGCAGTAGAAGTTGACAACTTCAGATTCACACCTCGCATTCAGAGACTAAATGAACTGGAGGTAAAATGAAAAGTCATCCTATTATGCTAGAATTTGAGCTGTGATCTTGCTTTACTAGTAGTTATATAACAATGTAGTTAAATATATAAGTTTTTAAAGCATGTATATTTTGATTCTAACCCCAGTTCCATTTTTTCCCAGAATATTGATCTTCAAGAAAGTCTTCTGCAAAATGACAGCACACGAAGAAGGGTTTTTTTTCAGGAATGAATGACATATTTTTCTGCCATAGAATGGGCTAAAATTAGAGATAGCAAAAAGATAGATTTTTCCTACCCATGCCCACATATTTTATCATTTTGGAGTTTCCCTGATTTCTTTCATAAGAGCAAAGTTCAGGGCAGATACATGGTCAGCTAAATTTCCCACTTAAGACTGGTGGTTGTACATTAGTTCTTCTTGAATAAGAAAGGATTGTATTTTGATATGGGTCAGAGTAAGGAAAGACAAATCTTATTTTATAAAGCAATCAACAGCCTGCATATTCAGCTTAGTAGTATTAAATGTGGAAAGTGTATGAATGATTTGGCATTTTCTTTTGCTATTACGAGTTTTAACCACGGTTACTGGTTAGAAACTCCAAAATGACTTAGGATGAGAGAAGGATAATTCAGAAACTGTGTCATGTAGAAATTTTTGACATAGCATAGAAAAATATTTTTTTTCCGTGGGTATGGGCTACAGAATGCTGTTTTAAGGAAGATATTAGATAAAGTCTAAATGGTCTTGCTTAGCCCTTACAAAGTCCAAGGATAATGCTTTTTTTTTTATTTATTTATAAATATTTTTATTTATTTGACAGAGAGAGACAGCGAGAGAGGGAACACAAGCAGGGGGAGTGGGAGAGGGAGAAGCAGGCTTCCCGCGGAGCAGTGAGCCTGATGTGGGGCTCGATCCCAGGACCCTGGGATCATGACCTGAGCCGAAGGCAGATGGTTAACGACTGAGCCACCCAGGTGCCCCGCAAGGATAATGCTTTAGATTTAGGGATGAAAGATTTTGACTTTGAGACATCACTCTTTGAGCTTTCTTTTCAGATTGAAGAATCAGCTGAGTTGAGCCTTTGTTAGACACTAGTGGTAAGATAGCCAATGAAATCTAGGTTCTAACCTAGTAGGGCACTGTAGATTGTACAAAACAATACTTTTTTATTGAAGTCACATTGGACCAAAGTCAGGTTAAGGAGTAAGCCAGTCTCATAGGACTCTCTCTTTCCCAGGCTCAGACCAGAGTAAAACTGAACTATTTGGACCAGATTGCAAAATTCTGGGAAATCCAAGGTTCTTCATTAAAAATTCCCAATGTGGAACGGAGGATATTGGATCTCTATGGCCTTAGTAAGGTAAGAGTACTTTTGCTTTAAAGAGGAAAATAAGTAAAAACCTTTGGCTAGGAGACCCTGTGGTTGAACTTTGTGTCTCTAGGCAGGAAAGCAGACAACAGAGAGCCTGCCAGCATTTCTTCACAAATCGTTTTGTCTTGGAACAACTGACGTTGGGGGGCAGTGCACAGTCCTCATATTTAACCATCACTGCTGTTTTTTAGGTCTCTCAGTTTGCACACAGTTAATTTATACCTTTCTTATCTTTGCAGATTGTGATGGAAGAAGGTGGCTATGAAGCTATCTGCAAGGACCGTCGTTGGGCCCGAGTTGCCCAACGACTCAACTACCCACCAGGCAAAAATATTGGTTCCCTGCTACGATCTCATTATGAGCGAATCATTTACCCCTATGAAATGTTTCAGTCTGGAGCCAACCTTGTGGTGAGGGCTCTTAGCTGATTTGGGGCCTAATATGATTTTGTTTTCTACTCTTGTCTCCCTTTTTCTGGGTTGAGCTTTCTCCTGAATAGTCAAGGTTTAGTATCTTAAGTACATTGATAGAAATTTTGGGAGTTGGCTCTGGAAAATATTTTTCAGTTTGTGAAGAAGTATGAAGTATATTTTGAAGAAATTTCATATCTGCTAGAGCAGCTACATGAGAATTGGAGGATATTTTTCTTCAGTCTTCCTCTCTAGGGGGTTACAAGGATATTTTTATGGAGAAGATATCAAAGTATAAGTTAGAGAAAGCAGTTCTTATTTTAGGCCATCCTCCGTGATAAAGATAATCATCTTACAAAATTACTAACCTTCCTAAGGGTAGTTCGGAGAAAGAGAATTAGTTTAAGGATAAAATTTTGGTATTGGGTTTAACTCAAGAAGGAGTGGGAACTGATTTGGCTGGGTATCAAATGTTTTTAGGTTTTATTATTTTCAAAGCATTTTCTAAAATTGTGTGTATATGTGAATATTTATAAATGGCTATTTATCTACATAATTCTGTTGGATTTGATATTTATATTATCCATTTTTCAGACAAAGAAATTGGAACAGATAGCACAAGGCACACAGGAAGAATAGAAGCCTGGGTTCAAACCTGGTAGTCTGATTTCAAAGATGTAGAAGAATTTTCATTCTTCTGTTATCACAGAAAGCATAAAGGATAGAGTTGTGTAATTTATTAAGAAGGGAGTACAGCTTTCATTGCTGGAGATTTAAGATAAAGGAATCCTTCATTATTTGCTGATTATGAATGTGACTGAGTTCCTGATCTTATGTTTTCTCATGTTCCCAGCAGTGTAACACTCACCCATTTGACAATGAGGAAAAAGACAAGGAATACAAACCCCACAGCATTCCCTTAAGACAGTCTGTGCAGCCTTCCAAGTTCAGTAGTTATAGTCGGCGGGCAAAAAGACTACAGCCTGATGTGAGTGCCTGTTTTTTTTCCATAAAATTCAAAGTTTTTGTTCAGTTCATATATATAAAACGTTCTTTAATTAATTTATTTATTTTATTAATTTTATTTTTTAAGTTTTATTTATTTATTGACAGAGACACAGCAAGAGAGGCAACACAAGCAGGGGGAGTGGGAGAGGGAGAAGCAGGCTTCCCGTGGAGCAGGGAGCCTGATGTGGGGCTTGATCCCAGGACGCTGGGATCATGACCTGAGCCGAAGGCAGACGCTTAACAACTGAGCTGCCGAGGTGCCCCAGACATTCTTTTATTTTTAAGGTATAGTTGGTTGAATAGGGATTTAATTGAAAATGAAATGAGTTATTTTATTTTTGTAGGTAATGTTTGAAATATTTTTTTTTGGTAGTTTTGTTTTTACACATTTTAAAAACAAACATATTCTTTTGATAATAGTTTTTTTTTAAAGATTTTATATATTTCTTTGAGAGAGACAACATGAGCAGGGGGAGGGGCAGAGACAGAATCTCAGGCTCACTCTGTGCTGAGCACAGGGCCTGACAGGGGTCTCAGTCTCATGATCCTTGAGATCATGGACTTCAGCTGAAACCAAGAGTCAGACACCTAACCAACTGAACACCCAGGTGCCCATCTTTTTAATATAGTTTTAGGGGTTACTTTTTAAATCTTGGGTGGGTTGGTTTATACAGACTCTGAATTGTTGTTTGTTTTTTAATTGTTACTTTTTGTTCTGTATTCTTTTATGAGACAGAGTCAGCCACAAGGGAAGCTCGGGAAAACACTTATACTCAGGACACTTGCCACACAGTGCCCCAGGGCAAAGCAAAAGGTTGGGTCAGGTTGTAGAATGGGCAGGGGCAAGGGGAGAGCCTAGGTGATGGCCTTATTGGGGTTTCCCAGGGAAAGGCAAGGCAGAGCACAGGAATAGTTTAGGATTGGCTGGTTTGAACAGTTGCAGTGGTCTCTAACCTATTGGAGCACCCCTATTTCCCTTGTGCCCTGGGATGATTAAGGCAGAGGAATAATCCCTCCTGTTGTGCTGTAGCCTAACAGGAAGTATGGCTCTAGATTGGTTGGTTTGTGTATGAAATGCAAGCTCTTTGCTGGATCCTTTGGTATCTCAAAGAATTGGCTAGCCTCAGAGGAGCAGTCTCTCCCCAACCAGGCAGAGCTTTTCACATGTCATACAATGTAATATCAGAAAATTAAAAATACAAACAAAACAGACTTAAAATTTCTCATCTTGCTAAAACTGTTTTGTGGAGGGGCGCCTGGGTGGCTCAGATGGTTAAGCGTCTGCCTTCGGCTCAGGTCATGATCCCAGGGTCCTGGGATCAAGTGCCGCATCGGGCTCCCTGCTCAGTGGGGAAGCCTGCTTCTCCCTCTGCTTCTCTCTCTCTCTCTCTCTCTGTCTCTCATGAATAAATAAATAAAATCTTAAAAAACAAAACAAAACATTGTTAAAACTGTTTTGTGGGGGCACCTGGGTAGCTCAGTTGGTTAAGAGTCTGCCTTCGACTCAGGTCATGATCTCAGGATCCTGGGATTGAGTCCTGCATTGGGCTTCCCGCTTAGTGGGGAGCCTGCTTCTCCCTGTACCAATCTCCCTGCTCATACTCTCTCTCAAATAAATAAATAAAATCTTTAAAAACAACAGCAACAAAAACACCTGTTTTGTGTGTCCACATATGTTCTCATTAAATTTTGGATATTTGTATTTCTAAAATATATTAAATTAGGATAACACTGTTCTTAGATATTTTGTGAGTAATCCTAATATTAAATTTTAAAATATTTTAATATTTGGATGTAGAAGGAAGACAGGAGAAATAGTAATCTAGCTCAGATTAATGCAACTCAGATTCTGCATTAGTGCTTTAGTTCTTCAAACAAGGTGGTATATGATAATTATCTGAATAAGAAAAGTGAGCTTCTGATAACTTGGGAATCAGTAAAATTTGTTCAAAAGAAGTAATTATCAGCTAAGGGTACAAAAATTTTTCCAAATCAAGGTATCTTTTTTTTGACAGAGGTAGTGAGAGCAGGAACAGAAGCGGGGAGAGTGGGAGAGGGAAAAGCAGGCTTCCCGCGGAGCAGGGAGCCCAGTGTGGGGCTCGATCCCAGGACCCTGGGACCATGATCTGAGCCAAAGGCAGACGCTTAACTGACTGAGCCACGCAGGCGCCACAAAAAACAAGGAATCTTTAGACACTTATTTTCTTGAGAATGAGATTGTTCACTTTGCTGGAAAGGTCTTAAAAATTCTTAAAAACTATGTTACCAAAACAACGAGATTGTACTTCTAGAATATTAAGAGGGAAAAAATTATAAATAAGTCCTGCATAAAGCAGAAAAGAAGTAAATGCAGTGACAAATTAGGACTAATGTCTTTTTTTCCAATTTGGACATAGGTGTATGTAGTACAAGAATGGATAGTAAGATGTCTGAAAGATTAAGAATAATACATGTTATTTCATATTTGAAAGCAAGCATTAGCCCTTTTAAAAGGTACTTTGCTAGGAAACTATATTTTAAGATACGGTGTTTAGTATAATGTCTGTAGTATAATGAATATATAATGTAAAATTGTAAAATAATGGCACTTGGGAGTTTTATGCCTACTATGCTAATAGAATCATCTTTCACAACCTGTTTTCAAGTTTTGTCTTGTATTAAACCATACCGAATGATAACTCAGAAGTGTTTAATCTCACTTATAAATTGAAATTATAAAAATAATGATGTGTTTCTTTTTATATATCTGATTGGTAAAATCAAAATGTGTAAAGAATGAGGAGCCAGGCATCTTTGTACACTGTTGGTAGTAAAAGATTGTACTGAAGTTAAAATTTTAAGTTATTAAAATTTCAAAGGTGCATGCCCTCCTATTTTAAGTTCTATTAATAAATCTTTCACAACAGCATACAACAAATACATGGGTATTAATAATTTATGTCCAGGTCTTAATGTATAAAAGTGACTGAATGACAACATGGAGAGTTCAGTGCCACTAAAAGAAAAGTTTTAAAGTTACAGTTCCCCTAGAAACACGAGTGATAGTGATAGTACATCATACTGGCCCACAAGAGGAAGCATTAATCTTAGTAAGGATCAGAAAGCAAGGGGAAGGCATAGGCCACAGCATTTATTGGAGTTTCCTTGGGAAAGGTAAGGCAGGGTAGGATAAATATCTTATGATTGAATAGTTTGAATAATTCCACCAGGCTTTGGAGCATAGGGACTTTCTCTGAAGTTGTTTTGGACCTGGCCATAGGTTGATTTAGGGAAGGGGAAATAATGTCTTAGTGTGTGAAGGTTAGATAAGGAGGTGGTTGGGAGTTGGGATGTGATATTGCTTGGTTTGTATGTGAAAGGAGGACTGAACTACAAATTTACTGCATTTAAGAATAGCTAACCCTTATAGGAGCAAGTTTCCTAGGCCAGCAAGATCTCCCAGAAGATGTCAAAATATAAAATATAGAAAATTAAAATGTGATTAGTACAATTAATTACATCATTGTTTATAATACCAAAAAATAGAAATAGTACCAGTAATATATAATAAGAAAAGCTTAAGTTACTTCTGGAGTAGCATTATAATACAATAAGAAATTATAGGACAGACATATGTATTGATGGTTCCAGAAACTTTATCCTTGAACAAACCTCTCTTTTGAGCTCTGGACTTTGTTTCTCTTGATCTGTGTCTGATCATTGAGAGATTATTTTTACTACCACCATTCTGTCCCCAGTTGATCCTGTATTTATCATGGGTATTGTTGTACAGTATATATTATTTCCTGCATAAGTTACTTTGGGAATAGGTCAAAATCAGAAAATAAGTTTTTATGTGTATTTGTATATAGGTATAGAATAAAATCTCCAAAAACCTTAAACTTTAAATAAAAAGAACTACAGTAGGGCTTTAATTTAAAAATAGAAAGAAATGGACAAACACAGATAAAACATACCTCAAGGTATCCAGTAAATAGATGTGCTGAAAATGGTATATAATACATGCATTTATGACACATAATGGTTTATATTTTTCCAGGATCCCTGGTTATTCTGTGGGAAGAAAGCTATTTCTATTGGTATGAGTTCAAACTGGAATCCTCCTAACTTCCCATTTGCATCTTCAACTGAACTATAGAGACTTCTTTATATTTATTGAATTCTTTAGTATAAGCTATATATTTTATGATACTATCTTGCAAACACAACTATTTAATTAGTTTGTTCGTAGCTTGAAAACATTTGAGAAAGGCAGTTACCACTCAGATTTCTCTTTCATTAACTCCTATTTGGCCACATCTTACTTACAGGTAAAAATACATCATTTTTTTTTTTTT